TATAGTATTTTAATTGCTAGGGGTATGACATTTTTGTTGCTACACATAAAGTCCTTTGTTGTTATAGGTAAAGTACTTGGGTTTCTTCAGGCATAGTACTTTGGTTGCTTCAAGTGTAGTATTGTGGTTTCTACAGGTATAGTCTTTTGGTTGCTACAGGTATAATATTTCAGATGCTAGAGGTAAGGTATTTTTGTTGCTACAGGTAAAGTACTTAGGGTGATAAAGGTATAGTACTTTTGTTGTCTACATGGTGCTAACGGAACAGTATTATTGTTGCTTCCGGTAAAGTACTTTGGGTGCTACAGGTATAGTATTTTGGTTGATGCAGGTATAGTATTTTGGTAGCTACAGGCAAAGTACTTTGATTGCTAGAGGTATAGTATTTTGATTGCTAGAGGTAAAGTGCTTTTGCTTGAGGTACTCTGGTTGCTACAGGTATAGTACTTTGATTGCTGGGGGATAGTATTTTGGTTGCTACAAATAGAACCCTTTACTGGTCATTCACAGTCCCTCAAGCTAGGTGCACAGACGTACAGTAGTGACCTCGTCACTGAATGTCCATATGTATACTGTATGTCAAGGTACCAGATCACCTAGGGCCATTGTAACAAATACAATTTTGGGGTGCAAAAATAATTCTACCTGAGGTGGAAACAATTTGGATGAACCGATTTCATCCACCTTACCTTCAACGGAGCAGTCCAGTTTCTGGTTATGATCATCATAAAATACGACATTGCAGGGTTTACAGTAGTCAGTGTGACACACAGCATTTGGGTAACGCTCACACTCGGCAAGCTCGCAAAACACAATGAGACACGTTGGGGGCGACCAGTCGGGACATTCCGGTAAGGTTTCTTTAGATAGTTTCAAAAATGTTTAAAGATGTAATCAGGAATAAGATAATTTGATGCAGTTTAGTTGCCCATTTGAAGCCATTTAAAAATCGTTCCTGGAAACAAATGCTGTAGCTGGGAATCGATAATTAACTTCAGGGGTGAAATCAAAGAAGTAAGGCTTGATATATCAGATATGGATGGAAAAGTCCATCACAAGTCCCACCAAGTCATTCAGTCTTAGGCCAAGTCACAAGCTATTCAGATGAAGTGTGACAAAAGTATTCCTTTCTAAGCATTCCCCCTGTTGAATTCACCCCCCTTGTGAGGGGAATTACGAGGTACGTTTTAAAAGCACTTGTGATAGTCTCAACCATAACACTGGATATAGCACTGTTTCTTCACTTACCCACTGGTCCTCCCTCGCATGGAACTCGTTGGCCGTTCTCGTCAAAATACTTTGCCACACAGCCGCC